CTAAACCCTGAATACCAAACATCCGGGCTGGAATCTGCAAGGTAAATGCTCCAAGTTGCTTGGGGGTTTGCGGTTTTGGGGTTAGGGGTTCGGCTGGGTGGTTTCCAGGAAGCGGTTGCTGGTACAGACGCATGGCTAGCCGAAGAATCCCGAAAGGACTCGCAACACTAATTACGCAGTGTACTGTAATAGGGCCCACGCGCTGCGCTACTCGATTCTAAGATTTATAGACTGTACGATGCATCCAACCCAAACCTAAGGCGGTGCCTGTTCAGAGTTTAGGGTAGTTTCATCAAAACTACAATCTTGTAGAAGCTACAGCTATAGATGCCAACCCCGAAGCCCTAAACTCAAGCTCGCCGTGCGGAATCCACAGACCTCTAGCCCTCAGCAACCTAAGCACTACACCCCCGAGAGCAACGTTACCCTCCAACTCAGACCGCTCGTCACAACGCAGCGCCTTCCGCTGAGGCATTGCCCAGTCTTGGCAGGGCCGGCCCAAGTGACCAAGACCCCACAATCACGAGCACTGGCGCGATCTTCGAGCTCTAAACAAAGAATGAAGATATCGTGCAAAGAAACCTTGAGCGTTGGTTTCAGTGCTGTCGGTTTGGGGCTAAGGTTTCCTTTTCTAAACCACAACACCTCATGATATGAAACAAGCTTTCGAATCTTGATCTTCATGTGCATGGCTAGTGCTTACATACATGCATACACACATGCATAAGCTGAGAACTTCAGAGGTCAAATGAGGACCCTAGGGGGGGGACCCTAGTTCAGAGATGGCCTCATACATAAACAGATTCTTCTTGGCACATTCCACCATGAACCGACACCGCTGCAGAGGCGAATGGCAATGGATCACTATCCATGAAGCACGATGCGATAGCTGTTTCAAATCTTGTGGCTTTAAGGTTTAGGGCTGTAACTCCTAAACCCCTAAACCCTAAACTATTAGGAACCTTGGGTCCTTACCCTAAGGCTCTAAGGACTCATATTTTACGGCTTTTGGGCGATACCCGTTCACGGCTTACAGGGTTTTTGTTGAGGGATGTCAAAGTTCTCTTGTCGGCCAGGGCTGAAGTTCAAGGAGATGAGCTCCATTCTAGGGGCCTTCAGTATCCAGTCTAAGGTATCAACCCTAAACCCTAACCCTTCAAACACTTGAACATTTTAAAACACTATAACCCCTAAACCCTCAACCCTAAAATCCCTTATGTAGCCATAAAAGCCTCGAGCAAATTTTAGCAAGATGCAAGACTGAAAGCGGAGCTCAGAACTCTTTATCGACCTGCGGGATTCACTGCGAAATGAACGGGCTTGGTGAAAGGTTCTACCGGGAACTGCAATTAAGGCATCGAGGGTTCGGGATTTTGGGGTCTTGCGTTGGAGTATGGACTTTTTCTGTTTCTGGTGTTGCAAGTATGCTTAAAGGGCGTTGTGCTCGTAAGCACGATCATGACGATCTGTGCAAGCACAGAGCTATCAATTGCTGGCGTCTGGTTCTTCTATTGAAGTCTGGCTTGTGCATATGGATTGCATGTCCGTAGAGCTGGCCCACCTCATGAGATCACCTGCGGCTTTGGGTTTAGGCTTCCTGACCTTTACATCACATTGCCGGGCACGCTTGGCATCACTTTCTGTCCAAGTTTCTAGACATACACAAAAAATTTATGCGCTCTACTAGACAGTTATATTCAATGGGCGCCACATCGAGGCCCTGGGGGTGATAGCAGCTGCACTGTCTTTGCTAGTGTTGAACTTAAAGACATCCCTGATGCTGCAGGGTTGCCGAGCCTTCGTGCGCGACCAAGAACGGGGCTTTAAGCTTAGGGGGTTTAGGGTTTAGGGCTCAGGCATAAGTCCAGCAGCAGCAACCCCAACCGGATGTGAATGCATCATTACTAGTTTTGTAGTTGGATCATATATTTCACATCTCCCATGGGACTATACTATCACCGGAGTACGTCATCAAATTAGGTAGGTCCTGACGGTTGGATTCGGGTTGCCGGGTCGAGTGCCAACCCAGTCCTGCCTGACATTTTTCAAGGATCGAGCGGGTCTCATTGCCTTCGCTCAGCTGGCCCGAGCCACAACATACTGTACACAAAAGCCAGCCACCAACAAGATGTTAGGGCTTGGGGTTTGCATGGTTTGGGATTTAGGGATTCAGCGGTGTAGAGTGTATCATCGCCAAGCGCACTGCAAGCCCATGTACCTAACTTAGCAAAACCGTAAAGCCCTCACGAACTCTTCAAGCACGATGTCTGGCCTGAGGTGTGGTTCGAGAGATTTTGGTGCTGTCCTCCGATCGGTAAGTCTTCCAACCTGACAACCGTAGTTGCATTTCAACCCTCAACCCAACAACACCATGCCCTGTAGCTGACCCGCCTGGCAACAGGGGCGATGCTTCAACATGCAGAGTACTAGAAGACTTTCTGTGCCATGCTGTATCCCTGAATTCTGAATTCTTCGGGCTCCAACTGCGTTCGCATCAATGCATAAGCCTAAACCACACGAAGCCCTGAACCCTAAACCCTAGACCCTAAATCCCGAAACCCTAAAGCCCTGAACCCCTAAACCCTAAAGCCCTGAACCCTGAACCCCAGACAACATCGAAATACAAACCGGAGCCCTCAACCCGAAACGCTAAGCCCCGGGGAACCCAGGAGACTTGAATTACCTGGAGCTTGTTGTTTAGGGTTTGGGGTTTGAAGCTTTGGGTATAGGGTTTAGGGCTTAGGGTATAGGGTATAGGGTTTAGGGTTTCAAGCTTAGGGTATAGGGCTTAGGGTTCAGGGTATAGGGTTCAGATAGAACCAGCACTGGTTGTTGCTGCGGCTGTGAGACTTGATGTGCCAGCGCACAGGATTGGCCAATACGAGTGTCTCAGCTGAGTCTTGGGGGCGACCCTTTTACCTGGAGACCCGCGGTGCATCAATTTCTCTGAAGTAAACACTTGATTCAAAATCCCAAACACTAAACCCTAAACCTATAACCCTAAACCTGAAATTCTAAACCCTAAACCCTACAACCCTATACTTCTATAAACCGTAGACAGGCCGGTACAGACCATGAACCGAGTCCAAGTGGGCCGTGCCTTTACGGCATGACTGCAGGGTGTAGGGTGTAGGAGTTTACGAAGACTTCAGCTGCGCTGGACTCACAAAGCCTAGCCCGAAATTTGAAACCCGAAAGCCCGACAATCACAAGCAACCAAAACTCAGCTGTTGCACTCTGGCCAATCCTTTGCAGCTCTCCATGCGAAGCAGCCTAAACTCTAAACCCTAAACCCTGTAACCCTAAACCTTAAACCTATAGCCCTATAACCCTAAACCCTAAACCCTAAACCTGTAGCCCTATAACCCTACATGTGCACAAAAAAACTAAACCCTAAAGACTGAGGGCATCTTTCCATGCAAGGAACCGCTCAGAGGCGAAGAGCCTGAATCGCCTCCCGACGACCTGGGTGAGGTCCCCTCGTTTTATTCTGCCCTGTTGGATTTGGTTTGGGGTTTAGGGTTTAGGGTTTAGGGGTTTAGGGTTTAGGGCGCTTTCGGCTCAGTCATCATACGAAAGATCCTAGTGCTTAAGCTGCGGGTTCCATGTTGCTTGAAACTTGGCAAAACCTGCGGGCGAAAGCTAAAGGTAGTCGGCTTGAGCTGCACCGAAAACTCAAGCATCGCAGAGAAGCCTTATCGCATCGGAATGGGGGGGGGGTGGGAAATGCTGTTCCCTTGAAGACAGCCCTAAACTCTGAACCCTAAACCCTAAACCCTAAAGCCGTGTCTGGACCCTAAAGTCCAACTTCTGAAACACTTCCTGCATTGCCACATGGGCAGCCTTCTGGAGACCAAGCCAGCACGGACATGAAACAGTCGATATACTTTGTTGTATTTCCCTAGGGCTCCAGTTACCTAAATAGTGGGTTACTAGCCATATATTATGTACCCCAGTAACCTACTATTTAGGTAACTGGAGCCCTAGGGTTTGTTTGCCATTGTTCTTGGCATTGCGGTGTTTCTTACGCTAGTAGCAATAATCTTAAAGTTACGAAGTTACTGATGAAGCCCCATATGGTGCTTTGGAAGTACATTTGAGGTTCCTTTCAGATCAGAAACTGACGGTGCATGTCAGCGTGCATTTCAGATTCATTTCGCAACCCAAAGCCCTAAACCCTCAAGCCCGGGAAAACTGCAAACCCCTAAAATCCTAAAGCCCGAACTGCTAGGTCCTTCTTGGCATGTCACCGGCTTGGATTGAAATCACCATCACAGATCGCTAGTTGAGGCTTGCTTGGCAATCGGCTGCTGCTGCTGCTGCTGCTGCTGCTGCTGCTGTCGTGGTCGTACTGTTCGTGCTAAGGGCAATCGCGGCAGGAGGGTGAGCCAGGGCAAGAGGATGAGGAGGCCAGTAACGATGCTGCTGACTACCCTGATTCACGTAACTTAGAGTCCACGCGGTACTACAGGATCTTGTCCATCTACCATACACCCCAGCCGCTCAACCCTACTCTCCACTCAAGAGGCCTCAGAAGGCTCACCGACATATGCCACCCCAGCAGCCTCCTGAGCCATGCACTCGCGTTGAGGGTCTGGGTAGGTGTTTAATGTTGTTTGCGGTTGGCCAGTTGGGTTCTTGAGGATAGATATGCAAAAAAATATGTATATATATATATGTATGTATATATATATATATCGGGCCTTCGGATGCAGAGCACAAAGTCTGACGATGTGTCAAGAGAAGATGGAGGGAATGAAGTCATCACTGGGGACCCAGGCTTTCATTTTGGATTTTGGGGCTATGCCTGCAAAGTGATCAAATCTCAGAATCCAAGGATGAAAGTGATACTTCTGGAGCAGCCTGGAAAGGCTGAGATGTCATTTTCCCCTCCGTCGTGCTTGCTACAGTCAGCAATGTCAACTGCCGGTTTGGGGTTCAGGGTTTAAGAGCCTGACAGCAGCTATCACTCTTCACGACGATGAGCTTTTTTGCTCAGCTCACTGAAGGACACATTGGCAGCCCTCCTTCTTCGGCTGGCAGTACTTCGACAGGTAGTCAGCAATGCTGACTTCCTGGCCAGTCTTCTTGTCCTTGACCATGACGGTGGTGGTCGGGGGTCTCACTGCAATCTCCTGCATCTGCTTAGAGTCTAAGGTCGAGGTATCAAGGTGTGATGATCTACGGTTTTTAAAAGGTTCGGCTTAAGATCTACAGGGCATAAGGTTATGGATCTCCTGCATCTTCTTGGTATGCACATCGTCGAAGTCCGCAGTGAACTGGAGCTCTGGGACAGTCAGCTTCCTGAGGTTGGGAAGTACCACGCCCAAGTGGAGAGTACCGGAGTACGGGTTTCCCTCGATGTTCAGCTCCTCGAGAGGAGACATGAACTTCTCAAGAGTCGCACTGCCATCAAACTTGTTGTGGGATAGGTCAATACTTTCCAGGAAATAGAATCGCCGCCAGTTGATACTTTCGTCCAGTGGGTTACCCGTGAGTCCATTCCTGCTTAAGCACAAGGTGCGAAGGGGGCTGGGCAGGTAGTCAATAGTGCGTGAAGTAATCTCCCCGTGCGTACTTGCAGATGCGCTCCCTTTGCACACGAGGTACTCCATGCCACGAGGAAGATGATCGAACGTTATGAAGCCAGAGAGACTGTGGTCCTCAAGGGTGAAGGTCTTCAGGTTCTCGAGAAAGAAGAGTCCATGCAGCTGGATCTTGCCATTGAGGTTCTCAGGGAAGGCGATGCTCTGAACACGACCGACACCGTCCAGCTTGATGCCATTCCACTCCTCCAGAGGTCGATCCACCCAGCTGGGATCCTTGTTGGTGACCTCCGAGACGATCAGCTCGAGGGCCGACTGCTCCACGAGATCCGCCTGCCGCAGCGTCTTAAGATCCTCGAGGATCTTGGTCTTGCGCTCTTCGGCAGAAAGTTCGGCCATCCTTTTTGTTCTCTGTTGCGCGAGACTTGTCAAGTGAAGAAGGCTTCTGAACTGGCACTTTGGACTTTGCAAACAGATGAAGACCAAGGATCTGTTGATGTCGTAAAGATAGCTTGAGCGGCTGCGGGCTTGCAGGCAGAACAACAGTGCAGATACTTTCGGACGGCTTTGGCTGGGTCGTTGAGTTCGCACTTTCGGTGTTGCACTAGAGAAGGCAGTCCGAATGCCTGGACGGCAGTGATCCTTGCCCTCGTGATAGCCCTGCCGTGCCTGAACCCCCAGTCCCTGCGCAGCATGCCTGGCAATGGCAGAAGCTTCTGAGCAGAGTCTACTACACATGCTGAAGCTTGTTCCGCTAGGCAAAGGCTTATCTGCACAAGATGTACTCAAAATTAGTAGTTCCCCCACCGCACCGTCGGAACATGCTTGTCTAAAATTCGCCTTGCACTCGACACCCTCAGCCCATCCACATCCGGCAAGAATGCCTCCGAAACACAAGTGAAGGAGAGCGTATGAGAGCGTCCCTGAGGGATAACTAATAACTGTAATGATTGATATGAAACATGTGCAGGGGCTTTCACAGTTGGAATTAGAAAACGACTTTGGAGGCCATACTGCAGTATGACGACAGCATGAGTAGCGGAGGATTTAAGAACAATGCGAGGAGTCGTACATTTACCTGCTTTTCGGATCGAAAGAGATTGCAGCTGGCATGTCTGATCTGCACACATGAACTGCATGCGATGGCGTGCCGCAACTGCTATAGCCGTATATGCATGGAATCATGTGACTTTGGGGTTCTTGAAGGGTATCACAGGGTGGGTGTGCTGTTAAACCCTAAACCGCACCCCCGCTTCCCCCCACAGATCTCGATGGCGACCTCTTGGTTCAACAGAAACTGCAGGCGCTGGTCGAGCAAACCTGGCTGAATTTGGGGTTTAGGGTTTAGGCTTTAGGGATTAGGGTTTGAACCATGAGGCTTTGGGTTGGGCGTGTAGATTTTCACTTTAAGATTTAGAGTCTATAGAGTAAGCCCCAAGCCCTTAACCTCTGGATGAAGGAGAGGTTCAGGGGATCCAGGCTTCAAATTTTTGGCTTCAGCGACTATTACAGGTTGTTAGTTGTTGTTATGCTCATGCCGCTTCGTCGCTCCATCATGCTCAAAAGTTGGTACCACCATATGCCATATGCCAATCGCAGTCGCCTTACGTTGCTTGTATGCTGTCATACATCGTGTATGTGTACATAGGTAGCGACTGCATGTGTATATGTATACGTATATGCATGTATATATATATGTGTGTATATATGTGTGTGCATATCTATATATATATATATGTATGTATGTATGTATGTATGTATGTATGTATGTACGTATGGTGGTATGTATGTGATTATGTTTTTGCATGTGAGCGTTCGTCAAAACTTCTTATTCATGGCCAGACCATGGATGATTTGGGGGGGTCCTATCGCTTTACAAGGATTTCGTCACATGTTTCTGTGAGGTATCGCTTTGCTCTTGTGAAAGTAAGAAGACCATCAGACTCACTGATCCTACTCGTAACTTGCCCTGCCCTTTGTTGCCCTTTACCTGCCCCTTTACTGCCCTGTGCTGCCCTTTTCCTGCCCTTTACTGCCCTTTGCTGCCCTTTACCTGCCCTATACTACCCTTTAACCATCAGAACAGGCAGCGGGTCACGAAACGAACTAGTGGGGATCAATTAGGGTATCGACTGGGTATCGATTACGGTATCGATTGCCTAGTCACATATCACACGGAAAATTATGGCATACGTGCCGCGGCAGCACTGGCATGTCACAACAGATGATCTTTGTTTATCGAATCGCTTTTGGGGGGGTCCTATCGCTTTCCAAGGAAATTAGCAAAATCCGGCATTCCACGGTCACCCTAGTCTTAACTACAATTACGGAAGTTTTGACGGATGCTCATGTATGTACGTATGCATGTATGCAGGTAGGTATGTATGCGTGTGTTTTTAGATTTATTTATGTATGGATGGATGTATGTAGGTGTTCTTTGTTTATTTGGTTGGCTGGCTGTTTGCTTGTTTGTTTGTTTGGTTGTTTGTTTGTTTGTAGTGTATGTTTAACTGCCTAGCCACACACATCATGGGGTCCTGCACGTGCTGCCGCTTTTTGCCCAACCATGACACACAGACATCCTTCATTGTTCGCATGTTTCGGGGCCAGGTCTTCAGGGCTAACGGGTCTAAGTTTTAAAGGAGAGCATATCAACCAGGCGGCTGCTGCTTCAACCAAAGCTTGGCGAACTGAGCCGTCGAATAATTACGCAAGGTCTAAAGCAACAGCGGACATAAGCACATGTAAAGTTGAAGTCGAGCAGCAAGCCCTGGAACCCAAAACTCTTTCCGGGAAGCTACCCAGACAGCCCACTGCCCCTACAAGAATTCGTTTGAATCTGACCAAGGATCCCTTTGTTACTATGAGGAAACCGTCGCAAAATGAGAGGGTGTAGAGCTTCCCCACTAGCTTCGGGAGATCCTATACCCGGCGTCCCTAGTTTGGGTCTTAAGGGCATCATGAACCTGATCCTAAGGCTCTTGAAGGCCCTTGATACTTTGGGGAGTTAAGGGCACCATGAACCTGAGCCTAAAACTTGAAGACCCTTTATATATTGGGGATTCTGACTCTGAATCCCGCTGCAAAGTCGACAGGGTTGCTGTCTGTCTCCTTCGCAGCTGCGATGTCTAGCAGCACCTTCGGCGTAGGGTTCAAATTCAGGAAATCATGTGTTGCGGTTCGGGGGTTTGGGTAACAGGTTTAGTCCTCACGGAGTTGTAGTTTGACGTCTGGAACAGCTTTCAGCGGGTAGGGCTGAACCGCAAACACTTAATTAACCCGAAAACTGGGTTGCTACCCGTTGGTACGATCGCAGTAGCTCTAACAACGGGATCCAAATTTGGTGTTTAGGGTTTAGGGTGTTCGTGTTTGTGAAACCCTCAAGGTAACGTGGAATCTTGCCAATCGTGCATCGAAACTCTTGCTAACCTCCTGGCCTACAACAGGACAGACTGACCAGCACAGAAGCCCCACCGTGTACCTTGAAGCCCGAATAGGCACACTATGTCTACGGGAGTTTCTGTTCTAAATCTGACAGAAAACTACAATTTTTTCCAGAGTCCCGTATTGATCCCCTGCAGGCTTTGAGAAAATTGCCCAGCGGCCTGGCGAAGAGTCAAGATTAGGGTTTCTGGTCCAAAAATGAATACTGTACCCCGAGGCCCAAACTGGGACAAAACACCTTGTGGAACATGGTTTTTGCCCAAAACCAAAAAAAACTAAACCCTAAACCATAGAAACCTCAAACATGAAAGCCCTGAGAGCCGCAAGTGTGGTATATTTTTGCACTGATGCTCCCAACCTACGCAGCATTTGGCACAATGGGTGCCTTGCGCGCGACCAAGCCGTCTTTCACAAGCACTCCTCAGCATAACAACATCCAGGGTGTAGGTTTTAGGGTTCAGTGAATCATCGGCAGCTCCACCAGCCAACCACATACAAATGCTGTACGTATGCGCGGATCTAGAAGTGGTATGTCTTGATGAATGTAGACATGTATACATATGAACACACAACACAATATGGGATATCATTTTGTAATACGATATAGCATCATAGAAAAACAAGGTAGTACGGTTGATGATGTAAATCCTGCATTGCCTTAAGGACCCTTAGCTATGAGAATTATGGTACATTCCTTATTATGGGTAATGCAGGATTTATATCATCAACCGTATCACATTGTAATGGATCATGTGATATGGTTTGATATAAGTAGTACAGTGCATTATATATTCCTTAATTAGAATGTGTTGTATTACGTTATTAAGCTAAATTATATGCTTGATGGTAAGCTACGGCATGGCATGATATGATGTGCAAAGGCTATATGTCATGGTGTGATATGTTGTGATAAGGCATGATATGAGATGGTATGATATGGTATGATATGACATGATGAGACATGATACGATGTGACCTGATATAGTATAGCATAATACTTATGACATAATACAATACAATGCAATATAATCTAATCTCATATGATATGCTAGCATAAGATATGATACCATCTAGTAAAACATAACAGCCATGTCATACGACACAAGATTCTCGAATATTATACTAAATTTCTGTATGCAATAGTATGCACCAATATGATACTATACACGCATCCTAATACGACACACTCACGCAAATCCATATTGAGGGCCTTGTGATCCAAAGATAGATTCCCTGATTGAGCGATAACGGGATCTCTGGGATTCTCCGTCATCCTTGAAGCTCAGAGGGCAAGAAAGCTTGAAGTTTTGATCTTCAGGTGTGTATACATCCGTATAGATATATGACTATCTATCTATCTGTCGGTTTATATATATATATGCATACACATAGCCCAAAAACAAATACGTATGTGTATAAAAGATATGTATGTCTGTCTGTCTGTCTGTCTGTCTGTCTGCCTGTCTGCCTGTCTGTCTGTCTGTCTGTCTGTCTGTCTGTCTCAATGTATGTATGTATGCATGCATGCATGCATGCATGCATGCATTTATGTATGTATGAATGTATGTATCTATATGTATGTCTGTATATGTATATGTATATATATATACACATGTATGTACGTATACACATATGATACGTGTATATATATATATGTATGTATGTATATTGTCTATATATATATGTGTGTATATAACCAGGCTTGCTAGCTGACCAAGTCGGCGTCGAGGTTAACTTTGGGTTCAGGGTTTGGCGCCGAGATAAAGTTTGGGAGATTAGGGCCTAGGTTTCGCTGCGGTGTACGGTAAGGGTTGGGGTTTTCCTGGACTGTCAGCCCAAAGGGTCCTAAGCACCAATATAGTAGTAGGTAGGGGTTCTATGTTAGGAAGTACTGTTATCGTTTGGGTAAATATCTCCCATATCGGTATAAGTGCTCAAGTACTCAAGTACCTAAC